TGGTCCCAGACTCGGGTGCTACTTGGGAAGCTGCGGTGGCATCTGACCTGGAGAACCTCACCTCCACATCAAAGAAAAACAAGCAAAGCTCCTTTCTAGGCAGGCGAAGATGAGGGTTTACTGGCATCCCTCACAGCCAGAGTCCCCAAGTGCAAACAGTGAGGAGGGGTACAGCAGCCAATCGGCAGGGTGGGGGCTGCCGCAGGACACGGGGACTGGGGGGTATGGCCCCAGCAGCTGCCCGGACCCCCCACCCAGCTGCCTCCTGAGCCAGTCGCCCCCATTCGGGCTGAGACTCCCCACAGGCGTTCGCCTGGCCATTTGACCCCCAGAAGCCAGCAACTCCAAGGAAATGTGGCCAAGCAGCCAAATGCATCCTGGTTTTCCCTGGAAGCTATAAAATCACCTGGAGACAGACAGGCTCGGGGAGAAATAAAGGAAGCTTAGTGAATAAATCTGGCTCTCCAACTTCTAACAAGAACTTGAAAGCACGAATTAAAGCTTAGAGTTTGCTTTCAAATGGCCTTGTGTTGCAATAACAAAACTGTCTCTGCAGACTGCCATTTATTAAACATTTTCCCTTAAACCAGAGAAAGGAGCTGCAGAGAGGCGCCCCATGCACGGAGGGCCACAATGGAAGGCTCGGTCATGGGCAGTCAAGAAGCACCTACTCAGGGCCTGGCACAGCTGTCTCCTCTTCGGAGCTGGCCTCCCACACTGTTCCCCACAAGGCTGACGCCTAGCTTCCTCGGTGTGAAAGCTCAGGTCAGGGGAACATCACTGGGTTCCACTGGATGGATGTCCCCGCAGCAGAAGGACGTGGCCCTGAAGTGTGTCCCGAAGGAGCCCCAAGGCAAGACTCCCACCAGGTGCCTGGGGTATGCACCCTAAAAATGCAAGGAGCCCTCGGCCCAGCCCAGAGGCCTGGACGTGTTCAAGAGAAACCTAGGGAGGGGGCAAGGTGGGGGGGCCAAAGCCTCCACAGGGGGCCCCTCCCCTGAGGACTGGCTGGCCCATACCAGGCCGTCTTGTGAGTTAAAAGGGCACCTCGCCACGTTCAGGGTCAGGGGAAAGGGGGCCTGGGCACCAATGACAGAGGACCGGCCCTGGCAGAGACCGTGACATGCTCCCGTGCGCCCGCACGTTCCAGGGCAGCTCTCTGCCGTGCCCCTCCTGACACCCCCAGCCCCAGTCCTGGGTAGGCCTGGGCCGGGCACCTGTACCCACTGTAGCCGGCTCACGGGTCAGAGCACCAGTGGACTCTCCCCAGGGGGAAATATACTCCAGATTCTAAAATGGAATCACAGGAACACAATACGTTCTATCAGGTTCCTGATTTGACATTTCCGTTTCCTCCCAAAGTATGCACTCCCTCGGAGTTGCCGAACGCAGCGCACAGAACCTGCTGGTCCGTTCCCCACCTGCTTCTGACAGCAGACGTTACCACAGCCAAAGCGCTCTGAGGAACCAGCTGCAGGCTGTTCCAGAAAGTCACTATGGACAATTCACCGGAACCGTGCCCCGTGCTCAGGTTCTGATCAGACGTGGCCTGGGTTGCCAGGCCAGTCTCTCCATTTAGGAGAGACTTTGGGCAAGTCCCCAGCTGTCAGTGGCAGCCACACATTCACTATGGCCGGCACAGGGAGTGACAGCACCGCGGCCAGGGCCGCGCCCACCACGCCCCCACCCCCCCAGACGGTAGCACGCGCCCGCCCGGGCACCGGCCCGTACTTCCCAAGGTGCTCAGCGCTGGCGGAACTGAGGGCATCCAAAATCAATCTTACCTCCTCGGCCCTGTAGACACGACCAGAAACTAGCCACTCTCATTTAAAACACCCTCGGAGATAAGAGCAGCCTTGGTGCATAGTTTTTGCATGACTGTGAGCAAAATGTTTACTCAGAGCTCAGTCCCCAAGCCGCCTACCCAGAAGTGTTTTCCAAAAATAAATGTGCCCGCCCCCATGTGAACTGCATAGAAAAGCAATCACATACATGCATATTTATGGTGGGAAAAAAAAAAAAGCGCTACGATTTCTTGAAGTCAAACAAAAAGCCATGCTGGGAAAAACAGAAGAGCAGCCCTTCTGGGTTGCAGTGAGTGTTTTCAGGGACAAAGGCCTTGTGAAACAGAGAGCAGATCCCAGGCCGCTGTGCCAGAGCTCGGCTGGAGCAGGAACTGCGGGTTCAGGAAGGCCGCCCTCTTCCCAGCGGCTCCACTCCCCAGTGGGGGGCCTGCCCGCCCACGCCCCAGCCTCCGCAGCCACCCCAACCGCGGACACTCCAGTTCTGCTTACAGGGCTCAATGCCATCCCAAGCACTTCCCCGAGCAAAGCCAGGTTTAAACGAAAACAAAGTCTAGCTCCACAAGGGCACCTGGGCCACCCAAAGGCACTGTAAGCCTGAGCACCCGAGCTCTCCCGCGCATGCGTGGGGGCTGCACGCACCCAGGTTCTCCCATGCACACGTGGGGGGCCGCGCACACCCAAGCATACCCGAGAGCTCTCCTGTGCACACATGCGGGCCACGCTCACCTGAGCTCTCCTGCGTCACGTGCACACACGGGCAAGAAAGAGAAGGTGACAGTGCCCAACTCCCTTAGCTTTACAGGCTGGGAGTGGACAGATGTGCTTCCATCAGCCGTGGACACCGGCCCTGAGTCACTGTCCAACCACCCTTCTCATCAGCTGCACAAGGGTCGGGGTGTGGGGAATGACCTAAATCCTGGGGCTCAGATAACTGCCCACATCCCTAGGCGAGGCCTACGGGCCTCCCCCTCCTCCTGCATTGGGCTCTGCTCACAGGTGGCACCTTACAGACTGGGGACTCTGGGACTCAGTGGTCTCCCCCCACTCATCATCTCCCTCGGAGGAGGGGTCAGGGAAGTGTCTTCCTCACCCGGCTGCTCTGTCTTTCGTGCTGTGACATGGGCTCTGGGCTGCCCCTCGGGCCGCCCCTCCCGGCCCCACCCACAGGGAGCGCATAGTCGAGCTGGGGCGGTGGTGTGGCCAAACGCAGGAGGCCGAGGGACAGAAGCACACGCAGACCCTGGGGGCCCAGAGAGGCAGGAGCGGGTGGGAAGCAGTGTAGACAAGGTGTCCAGGCTGGGGCCTAGCACTATGACGACAGCACCAGAAGGGCCAGGGCACGGGGACGGCGGCAGGGAGCCAGCAGGCAGCCTTGCAGCAGAGGAAAGAGCATGGTGAGTGGAACACAAGCCAGGGGGCCACATGGGGAAACCTGGGGGCATAAGCCTGGCAGGAGCGGGTGGGGTGAGGGCGGGGACGAGGCCAGCGGGCAGCACGCCCTCACAGGAGCCCGGCTCAGAAGCTGCAGGGCAGCCCCAGGGGCACACGGCCTGGCCCTGCCGGCCTGGTCTTCACCCACGTTCTCAGCTGTCTTCGCGCACCATCACTCAGACCCTACCACGTGCACGCCCCGCCCCCGCCCTGCCCCGCCTCCCAGAAAGAAGTGGTACCCGGCACTAGCCCACGGCACGCCTCACAGCGGAGCAGAATAAAACGTGCTTCCTCGTATGAAGTCAAAGGAGCCAGACGCTGTGCTGCGGGGGGACTTGAACCGGGCCCTGCACCTGACCCTCGAGGCCCCCTGACATGGCAGAGAACAGGCGCACAGATGGGGACTCCGGAGACGGAGACTCCGGAGACGGAGACTCCGGAGGTGGACTGGGGTCAATCACACGGGTGGCACTGCTCCCCCGTCACAGAGGCCCAAAACCTCCTCACGGCCACCGGGGGCTGCAGGCCACCCCCACCCATCACACCCCAATCCTGCTCCTCCCCAGCTCAGACCCTACACGAACGTGCTTCCTCTTCCTCTTTACCAAGTCCCAGCCCAGATGTCATGTCCCCAGCACGGCCCTCCCGCCCCCTTCCTGCACATGGCGACTCCGGCAGAAACGTGCCTATGGTGCTTCGGTGATACCAGATGCCCCTCACTGCAGTGCTCAGGGGTGACAGAGCAGGCAGGCTGGGATTCGCTCCAAAATAATTCCACAAAGAAAGCAGCTAAAAGAGCTTCAAGAAGAAAAGAGGACAAAGGATCGACCATCTGGATGATGGGTGCATGCCTGAACACCCTAAATAAGGGAACTCCTTTCCACCCCAGGTCCCCATGTGAGCACCTGTTCCGCGTCCCCCTCCCCGCCAGCCCAGACGCTCCGGGACGCCAGGGGCAGACCAAGTGAAAGGGCCCCTCTACCTCCTGGCCGTCCCGGGAGCCTGGAGCGCGGGGCAGAAGGGGAATGAGAGCCTCTCTCCCAAGGGCCCTGGGGCAGGCACGCAGGTCAGGGGAGCGGACAGGCATCGGGGCTTCCTCCTCTAACCGCCCAGGGCCCAGCTGGGAGCTGGGGATGCTTCCAGTCTGCAGGCAGCCAAGAGCCAACGCAAATAACAATCCCCCACCCAAAAAGTCGTCCAGTGACACCCCGCCATCCCGTGAGCACATCCCGGACAGGGGTAAGGCCAGGCCCGGGGGGCACCGTGCCTGCGGGGGCTGGACTGGAGAAAATCAGAGAAGAGGTGTGGCCGATGTCCCTTCCTGGTAGAAGACGCTCAGAGGGCAGAAGCTGGGCATGGGCAAGGGGACTCTATGCTCTCTCTCCCACTTTCCTAGGAGTCCAAATCTCTAAAGCAAACTTTACTCAGGGGTGCCTGGGGGCTCGGTCGGTTGAGCATCTGACTCTTGGTTTCAGCTCAGGTCGTGATCTCAGGGTCCTGGGATCGGGCTGGGAGGCCAGGGGCCTGCTGGAGATTCTCTCTCTCTGCCCCTCCCCTCTGATCACTTGCGTGCACACATGCACTCTCTCTAAAATGGATACATTTTTAAAAATTTTTTTTTAAAAATAAAGGAAACCTTACTTAATAGAAAAAGCAGGGGCAATGATGGCAGAATCTGTGGGGAAGAACATTCTGACTCGGGAAAGGTGGAGCGTGTCACCCACACCTGAGAAACGACCGCGTTTCAAGGCTCAATCCCCTTACCCTCGAACACCTGATGGTTGTTTCTGAGCAGCGTCTGCAGGCCTCCACATTCCCGCTTCAACCTCTGCAGCGTCCCCCTGTCCAGCTTACGGGCTACTTCCGCCAAGGAGAGGCTTCCTGTGGAAAATCGGGTTTCCCCAACAACAATACAAAGGCCGCTGGAGACCGTTAACCAGGCAGGCTCACCGCCCTGGCACGACGGTTCTAGCTGCGTCAGTTCCAGCCCCTCACGCACGTCAGGAGGGGCCGTGAGATTTACCTTTGCTCTGAGTCCACACCACACAACACGGAGCTGGAACGACACGGGCATCTGCCCGTTTCACTTGGTCTGCCCCTGGCGTCAAGGAGCGTCCGGGCTGCCACCACCTGGGATGCCAGGGACTGCCCACGTGCCAGGCCCTGCAGCTGGGGTCTCACCCACGCCCACCCAACAACTCTGCAGGCCAGCGGAGACAGCCCTGCCTCCCAGACACAGAAAAGCAGTGCTGGCGTGTGGCCCAGCCCCGGACGCCCAGCAGAGCGGCCGCTCTGTGGCTGGGATTCCATCTACCAAAGCCCCGCCGGCCTTCAAGATGCACCTCTCAGCTGCCTCAAACTCGTTCCGAGAGCAAGCAAGATGTCTAAGGAGAAGGCCGAAACCAGCCCAGGCGGCCTTCCCTGCCCCTCCTGGGTCTGGTCCCGCACAAGCGCCCGACGCTGGCGCTCACATGCACAGCTCCACACGGCCACCTCCCGGTTGCTCATCCTCTGCTGTGTGCGTGTCCCGACCCAGTCGTGAGGGCAGGGACCACCTCCTCCTGCCTGTGCTCCCTTACAAAGATCACTTAGGGCCTGGGGACAGACGCGCTCGTACATCACACAGGGGCAGGCTCCGGAGGGGTCACTAAATTCCAGCAACCAAAAGGTGGGAAGACGACCTGAGGGCAGGAACCTGTGGGCTGAGAGGCCAAGGGCGCAGTTCCACCCCACTGGAGCACCTCAGGCCAGCCGCAGACACTGAGACCCATGCAGGGAGGGTGGCCTACCAGCTCTGCAGGTGTTTCTGCTGGGCGGGCAGGCCCGAGGCCCGAGACTCAGAGCCACCTGCTATCTACGTCTGAGCCTAGAAGAAGACCCAGTCTGCTACGGCCAGAGTTCTGTCCCAGGCACAGGCAAGCACCTCCTAAGCTCAGTCATTCCTGGGGTCTGTCAAACTCCACATTTTCAGACTCACCCAAATGTCTCTGAGGCGCCTGCCCGCCTGCTGCGGACTCCCTGCCCTTCGAGGTCCCCATGGGAGCCCCCCACCCAGCTTGCCTTCCTCTTCACTCAGGCCCCGCCTCAGCAGGGCACACCAGAACGTGGGGTGCCGACCCACAGATCAGTCCATGGCGCCCCAGGCTGGCGCTCAATTACACAGATGCTCAGCCACCTGCAGTGGGGGGCTCTGGCCAGGGCTGCCACCACATCCCTAGAAGGCCCTCCCTCAGATTAGACGCCACCAGGGTCAGTGATGCGCAGGGAAGCAGAGATGCTCCACGGCCCTGCCCCGTGGCAAGTACACGAGAGCGTGCAGGCTCAGAGCAGGACAACATCACGGGTCGGGGAGGGCAGGCTTGCCGCCTCCTCCCGGGGCCCCCACTCACGGGCCACCAGGCAGCAGCCCCTGACAGCATGAGGGAGGGCTCCCCCAGGTCTCCAATGACCCCAAACACTCAGGCAAGTCTCTGGCACTGCCAGACCCAGCCAGCTCCACAGCGCCCTCTGGCGCCGCCGGGCAGGAAGGAAACCAGCTTGGACCAGCCAGCCGCCTAGGACTCCACACGCTCACTCTACAAAAACAGCAGAAGCTCACACTTTGGTCCCTATCTCTCTTGAATGCCACTGATTTCAGCACGTTACTCATCCTATGAGAATAATCAGATACGATTTTCTCCCTTTCATCACGTCTGAGTTTTGCACTTTGGGGATTTCAAAGAGAATCACGTTATCAGACTACGTCTCCGAAACGTTACCTTATTGTCAAGGAGACAGCGCACTTTCCTGGCATTCAGGACTCTGTTTTTGGTTTGGATAACTCCTATAAATTGAAAATAAAGGGCTCCACACCCTGAAGCCTGGACAATTCTGTAAAGGTTAATTACCCCTCTGCCCTCAGTGCCTTGCTCTGAGGGAACGGAGTCCTGCACATTAATGGGAACTGTAGGAAAACTTCAAACAATGAGTGTAGAGTGCCCTGTTCATCATCGATGTCTCTTTAAAACACACGTAATTAAAAACAACCACACAATTTTAAGTTGGTCCTAAAGGAGAGCCGAGCTGCTGCCTGAAAGCCAGCAGGCACGCAGCTGCTGGGGGCTGGGGGCTGGGGGCTGGGGGCCGGGGGCCGGGGGCCGGGGGCCTACCTCCTCGGTTCCAGGCCTTCGAGCTGCTGCTTGGAGCACTTCCTGTGTTTAACTGCTCTCCATCCAACAGCAAATGTGCCACTTGCAAAACCACTTGGTCAATAAAATCTCGAGGGAGGGTGGCACAATTCCTCACGCGCTCAGCTTTTTCTCTAGGCTGAAATCCAGACAGCCAGAGTTGGTCGGCTCGGGCCTCTGCCCCTCCCTTGGCAGCCTCGGCGTCCGGGGCCTGGGGCCCGTCGGGGTGACCTGCGCGTCCCACAGCGGCCCGGGGTGGAGGAGGGGCAGGCGCCTCGCCAGGTGGGCTCATGGGGCGGCCCCGCCTGCTGTTAATGTACTGGGTTCTCTGCTCATCCATGGAACCTTCTCCAGCAGGTGAGTATGTTCTGGATTTCCCAATGAGACAAACCTGCATGGGAAAAACAGCAGGGTATTTTACCAGGCTCCTAGAGTATGTCCATGGTTCCCATTCAATTCTCTTGTTCTGCAATACAAATTAAAGTTTTAGGCATTTATCATGGAAGAAATGCTTATTCTAAAAATGTCCAAAATAAACCAAGAGCAAAAGCCCATGAAGAATCTCAAGGCTCGGACTTTGAGAGCCCTAACACACGCATATAAATCTTGAGTCCACACCTATTGAGCTTACGGCCGGGCCGCTCTGAACACTCACTCGAGGGAGCCTTTGTGTGACCCCCAAGTGCAGACACCGATGGTAAGCTAGAGCTCTCAAAATGAGCCGTCCTTCTCTGGACCTGATGTGGCGCTGATGCTCATTCCATGCTCTCTCCTCACTACATCCAGATGAAGGATGCTGCACAGGCGTCCCCGGGGCGAGCGAGGCTGGTCCAGCGACACCACCCCAAGCACAGCATCTCTGGACTTCCTCCCCAGGCGGGAGCTACGAAGCCAGGTTACAGGCACTGAAAGAAAGCGGCTCTAATCACATCAGAGGCACCCCTCACTACGCCCCAGCGGGATCCTGGGCAGGTGACGTAACGTCTCCGCGTGGCAACAAGCAGCGGGGCGTCACCAGCCCTCACTGAACAGCCGCTATGTGTGGCCACCTGCTCTTGCATTTGCCCCCCAAACCACTGAATTACAAGAAAGCTGAGACTCGGGGCACCTGGGTGGCTCAGTCGTTAAGCGCCTGCTTTCGGCTCAGGTCATGATCCCAGGGTCCTGGAATCGAGCCCCACATCTGGCTCCTGGCTTGGCGGGGAGCCTGCTTCTCCCTCTGCCTCTCCTCCTGCTCGTGCTCTCTCTCTCTCTCTCTCTCTGTATCTCTGTGTCTTGAATGAATAAACAAAATCTTCTAAAAAAAAATGTCTTTTTTAAAAAAGAAAGCTGAGACTGAGATTAAGAACTGGTACTAGGCCTCCAGCAAGACAATGGAAAGACAAGTGCAAAAACCCGAGCTGTGGGATCCTTGTACCCACATGACCCAAATTCCAGCGGTTCCCAGACTCAATTCCAGCTTCAGTGGAGTGACTCGCCGACGTGAGGACATTTACGAGGACACCACGGCTCCAAAGCGGGGTCCTAAAGGAAGCTTTCAAGAGTGACCTGAGCAGTGACCGCGTGGGCAGCAATGACGTACCTGAGGCCGAGTGGGCCGCACTCACCGCCACCACTGAGCGCTATCTCGTCCCCGCTGGGCACAAGAGGACATGGGCACGGTTTGCAATGTGCCCAGGAGTTCACGGCTAGCAGGTGGCAGAGCGAAGAGCTCACCTCACACCTGTCTTAAATCCTTTTTGCCACATCAAGCAATCAAGCTATTAAGCTTACAATTTGGATATGATGGGTTTTTGTGTTTTGCTGGTCAAAAAAAGCACACCGATGGCCATGGAGTCTGATAAAAGGAAGCTATCAGAGATTATGACAAACTGATGGCTCAGAGGGTGAGCAGGAACATGGCCGAGTCTGCCCTGACCACCTGGCAGGGTCACAGAGGGCCACTTGCTGTTTTCACAGACTGGGAGAGGGTAAAGGTCTGTCTGGGCAAATTACCTTTCAGGTAAATCTGAATTAATGAAGCATGTAAGGAGAAAATGGGAATCATTCTGAACTTCTGAACCAAACTTCAATTTCAGCCAATCACTGGGGAACCCGAGGAGTCAGAACTCAGAGCAGGAAACCTCAGACAACACTCGGGCCACCGCTACACAAGTCAGACTGACGCCCACTCCGGACAGGTCCCCGAGGGCCACGCGCAGTTTCTGGGAAGAAAATGAAGACGCGGCGAGGGTCCTGGAAAGCCGCCACGGGAGGGGCCGTGGGGGCAAAACGAGCCCTCCGAACACCACCCGTGGCCGAGACGCTGAGATCACCACAGGCAGCTCTGGATCGCACCCAGTGTTGAACACCATTGTCCCCTGTGGTTCTGTAACGCAGCCATCAGTCCCCCATCCAGACACCAGCACCTCACCAAGGACGGTGAGCCCCCGGCGCCCAGGACGTACCCTTTTGGTTGAGGGAATGCGCAGGCAGTCCTCCTCGACGTGAAACCCGCAGGCCAGCCCCACTTCCTTGATGAAATCAAGGTACTCTCGGTACTGAGTCTTCCGGCTCTGCCTCCGGGAATATTTCCCAGTGAAGCCAAAGAAGCAGCAGGGAAGGACAAAGAAACGGCAGCCGTAGGAGGACCTTCAAAATCAATCCACAAGAAACAAAAGGAAATTCAGCGGAAAGTCACATCATGCATCGGGGTAACATACATACGTGTGCTGGTGGCTGCTCATGTTTTCTGATGAGAAAATGAGTAACAGCTCTCCCTAATTCAATTTCTAGAAACAATGAGCATGGCATACCTTCCCCATAAAACATGGATCTAATTACCTTTATAAAAACTTTCCCCATTGCAGTTGTTCTCGTCAACTGAAACGTAAGACTTCCCGAAGCGCTTGAGGCTCCGGCTGGGAGGGAGGGACCTTGGAGGCAGACATGCAAAGACTAAGACGTGCTCCTTGACCGACGTTATCCTCCGAGAGCTAGGACCCTGGATGGGGAGCCACAGCCACAAAACCTTCGGGGCAGCGACGTCGCCTGCACCTTCGCGTGTCTCCTCCTGACCTAGAAGCGCCGCCACCCCGCGTACAGCCCCCGGGCTGAGAACTAAATATTGCTGCGTGTCACTATGTTCACAGACTTTTCCTTTGAAGACCGACCCTTGTTGTCAGAAAAAAGCTTCCACAACATGACCCGTCTCTCAACACTGGCTATAAACACCGCAGAAGTCATCAGTTTTCACCAGCACCGTTCAATAGAAGAATGCCGTGAACCACATTTGCGACCTTATCTTTTCCAGCCGGGCAGAATTCAACCCTGACCTGACAGACTCGGCACATTATCCTTTCAACAATTTGAACCAGCTCCATTTCCAGTGTTGGACAGCCACCAGGCAGCTCGATGTGGACAGCGAGGTTTGCCCCGCCACCCGCCCTGCCACCCGGACCACCTGCTCACCTGGCCGCAATGACAGGTATCCATGGTGTTAGTTCATCGGAATGGTTACCAATTAACCAGTCGACGTCAGGGAAAAGGTTCTTATCATTTGGTGTGATTGCACCTTCCTAAAGGAAAACACCAAACAAGACCACGGGTTCGGTAAAGCAGCACAGAGCTACTGAGGCAAGGCCCCGCAGACCCTCGGCTTGCTGGGCGGGTCCCAGCCCCCCGGGGCCTCGTGGGTACTGGGTAGGCACCCGAAGGTAGAGCCGCGTCTGCCCCACAGGGCGTGGAACGGGGCAGCTTGTATCGTCATCTCTAGGGAAACCAACAATGCCCTCCGAGCGCTAATCGCTTTTTGACCCGTACAGACGTGCTTCTGTTCACCAGCATACCAGGAGCTCTGGGAGGTGGGACAAAGCAACCATATCCATACTCCAGAGCGTCAGAGCCAGAAAGGGCCTTGGAGCAAGCGAGTGGAAAGCAAGCAGGTCTGAAGTTGATTTAAGTGTGTAACATAACGCACCACGCAACCTCACGTCTGTCGATCGACGTGACGAAGCACACCCACGACAGCATGAGGAGAGGTAAGAGAGGCGGGGGCAGTTTATATGTAGCAGAATAAGTCTCTGCTATCGTGCTCTTTTGTAAACATTCAGATACCAAGTAAAAAACCCACTCCATAGGCAGGTTAACCATTCTGATAATTCCTGTAATTAAGCCGAAAACAGCTTGATTTTATGATTTAAGAACGGCCATCATGAATGATTAAAGTCAGGCCCCAACAGTGGGTCTGTTGGTAAGCACTGGAAAGACAGAAAAGATACGACCACTCAAAATCCTACTTTTAAAACTGAAGAACGAACCCCCAAGGGAAGCAAGCGCAGCCGCCATCCCTTGATCAGAACAAACTGGGAAGACATTATGACAACCTCATGTTCAAGGCCATCCCTTAGGACAACAAAACCATGGGTCTTTTGCAGACGTGATGTATACAAAAGTGGAATTTAAACTCTACAATCTCTCTGGTTCTTAAATAAGCATCTGGACTTCTACTTACATATTAAAACACTGAAGACAGTACAGCTCAATGGATTTATACATAATTTAAAAGCAGGAAAAACAAACCTTTGATATGATCCTCTATTCTCACCCCATCTAGATTTAGTTGCCCATTTCCCTTTAAATGGCCTGCATGAATAAAAACATAATTTACAGCTGCTGTTATTTAAGACGGGTGGTTTTGTTCTTAGCAGTTTCTTGCTTACAATCAAATGAGGATTTTGAAAGAAGCTGGAAACTCATGCTCGGCTTTTGACGGTGCAGATAAAGACAACGAGCCCACGGAGGCAGCCATGAACTCCCTTCCACCAATCTTTTTCATTTTTTGCAATATTATTCTCAACTTTAAAAGAAAGTGGGGCAGAAAGTATAAAAAAGAGTCTCAGACTCTTACTATTTACAGATGAAATGGCAGGGCTGAGATCCGTTTCCCAAGAGCAGCGGGCCGAGTAGGGGCTACAAGAGTAACTGTGACGTCCGTGAGCTGCCCGGATGCTCACTCTCGCCCGTTCGCCCTTGCGTTGTCCACAAAAGTGAGCATGAGAAGTGCCGTCAGCACTCTGCCCGGCTCGGAGGCCGCGGCCAGACACCAACGCCGTGAACACTTGGACACCAGACCTGACGTGGGACTGCTGCTCAGGGGGCCGGTCACTTTCTCCCTTGGGGAGACACTCCTCTCTGCCTGGTACCAGGACAAGTGAGCTACTCCTGAGCAAGGCTGCAGGGACCTGGGTTCACTGCGGCCTGAGGGTCATGGGCTCTGGAGGCCGGGCCACTAGATGGCTCACAGCAAATGTGTAGCCCACCTTCGTAGCTCCACGGGGCGTCCACACACCTGCAGCCCCGCCCAGCCCGGCTGCAATTTACCTTCCTACCCTGGACTCCTCAGCACCTGCCCCTTGCTGGGAGGCCCTCCCGGCCACCCCATATACCCAGCACGACCTGGCCCCGCAGAGGCCCCCTCACCCTCCTCAGCATGTACCACACCTGCCACCCAGCACCCGCTCTGTATCCAGGGTGTTCCCCACCCCCACGAGGGCAGGAGCCTTTTCACTGTTGAAATGCCAGCACCTGAGAACGCCTGGCAGGTTGAGGGCATTCAAATATTTGGTAAATATGCAAATCTTACTTTTTCTCCTGGTTTTTTTGGATGATCTCTTATAGCATCAAAACTCTTTCTGAAAGCGTATTTGAAGTAAAACCTTTCTGAAAACCACTATGACAATCTCATCCCAAAACTTCTCAAGTTTGGCCTATGAGAGATTTTTTTTTTCAGTGGACTAAGACTGATGCATGAGGATTTATGTAGTGTAACCTGCCATCTGAAAACACGGTCAAGAACAGGAGGTGAGCCGAGAAGCAGTGTGCGTGTGTCCTGCCCTCCAGGCACAGTGGGCGGGACAGGGGACTGACTGCCAGCACCGCACGAGGACTAGTTAACACGCATGAGGCACCTAGAAAGGTCAGCACCGGGCACACTCATGAAAACCACGGCCCCTGGGGGACAATCATGCTGAGAGCAAACAAATGAACAAGGTCAGTACCTACCTCTAAGCAAGTTTGTGGTCCATACGTGTCCCAGATTTTTCTTCTTCGGACATCGATCCCTCTGCCTGGATGCTAAAAGAATTTCAGAAATCAAAGGTCAACATCGGTACATCATAATAAATGAGCAAGACAAATTAAACTCTGCACAGAATGCCACCATTGTGAAGTGCAAGAGACCCAGACAGCACCCACAGTTTCTCAGCAGTTGAAAGAGGTCAGGACCTGCACTCCGCTAAGGGTCCCCAGGAGTCTTCACGAAGGGGAAATGGAGTCGTGTGGGAACGTGTCTGAGGCCAGCAGCCCAGGAGACACATCTGGACACAGAGCCCCTCTCTCGTGGCCCAGAGTCAAGTCCGGACCCCAGCACGTCCGCCCCTCCAGCTTGCCAGGAGACAAGGCCCGTCCCCTGCGGCTGTTTCTCCCCCAGGATGTGTGCCCGTGCCCGCCGGCTCTCACAGGGCAACTGTGCTCATTTCCAAGTTGGGGGGAGAGGAGGGGTGCGCGAGGTAGCTCGTCCTCCTCACTTACCAGCCTGCAGGTTACCACCTGATTGCTGACCCCCCAACACCTTATTTACAGGTATTACCATTACAAACTCATTTTTTAATTACGCAAACAAAACGGACATTCTAACAACCCCATTTCAAGTTCCTACAGCTGTGGACAGAGTGCCTCTCCTACAGGGCAGAAGTCAGCCGGGTCACCGGGTGAGAGCAGCGCGCCTCCCACAGTGAGTCCGCAGGAAGGCTAGACGCCGGCCCGAAGCACCGGCCGGGAAGCCTGTGGCTCGCACTGAGCCGCCTGCTCCGAGCGACAGGGGCTGCTCTAAGCACGTCCCGCCGTTACTTCACGGATCCAGAAACGGTGCCCACACCGTTGTCGCCAGCGTCCATCACAGCAGGAGTGTGCCTGGCCTCTGAGCCGGGACTCCAGCTTCTGGGGAGCAGAACCCACTGCCTCTCATTCCCCTTCTGGTGCCCTGACATGCCGTGTTCCCCAAAGAGCCCCTGACGGCCACGACCGCCGTGCCGCACGATGTCTGTCGTCCAGCCGCACAGGCCGCCCCACTCTCCTCGGTCCCAGCCCGACAGCCAGGCAGACTCTGGATCCAGCTCGTACCAGCAGAGAAAGACCTCAAGGACCCTCGTGCAGGAAAAGGAAGTAGGAATGGCCACGGAAGCGCACCTTACCCCCTCCGTGCTCAGGATGTGCACCAGGAGACCGTTCCCGCATCCTAAGTCAACAAAGGACTGCTTGGCCATCAAGCCCCGCTCAGCTCTTTCTTCTTCCCACAAAATCTAAGTTACAAAAAAAAAGTCAGTTCCTGATTCATTCCCTCCAAGAATAATTGAGACACAAGCCCTGCATGGGATTACAAATCACATTTCCAGGACAGGCGGACAGGCCTCGTGTGGGGCCCTGGGTCTGCGCAGGTGACGCACAGGGAGCTGCCCTCGCCTGATGCCGCAGCGGCACCGAAGCCGTCCCCTGCCAGCACGAGTCCACACGAAAGTGGTCCTCTCTGGGCAAGAGCTTCACAGATGACTGCTGGTTCCTCATGCCTTCTCTGTTCTCCTAGGCTGTACACTCTGATAGTCAAAGCAAAATATGCTATTTCTAAAAAGGCTCTGAGAATCACAGATGAAAGGAAATTAGAAATTATCTGGCCTAAACATCTGTTAGATAAGAAAGTCAGGACTATTAAGTCAAGGGCACACCCAAATTTGGGGGCTAGCGAGCTAGCTAAGGACGGACCGAGGCGTGCAGGGGTCCCGTGAGCGGCGCGAGTGGCGTGGTGCCTCCGTGACGAGGGTACGTCAGGATCGCCCCGGCCGAGCGGGAGCCCCTGCGATCTGGCCTCACGGCGCGGACGTGCTACACACACACACCCACACACACACACACACACACACGTGCACGAGCTACCGAGCCAGCATGCTAAGTTACGGATTTGATGAATGTGGCTCCCCACTGGTAGCGGCGGCGGGCAGCGACCTTCGCCCACCCCAGGGGGCCTGGGTGACCGAACACGCGCTTACCAGCAGGTACGCAGCGATGGCCACATCTTCATACACAAACTTTTCGGGATCGGTTACTTCAGGCCACACCTAAAACATTTTCCAGAGCATATGTAACTGTTCGCTCGTGACCCTGCCATTTCACTACACGTAAGGTATCCCCATCAGCATAAGTCAAATGAGACTAACCAGGCAGTAGAATTTTTTAAAAAAGCTCATTCCAAAGGCAGACACTGATGATCCCTCTCTTACAGTAAGAGTGGCATAAAGACACGCAAAACCTTTACCGCATACGCGTGTGACGCGACACGTCACGAGCAACGCAGTCCAAAGCAAGATTTTGCAACGAAAGCAACCCATGTAGCTATTTAGATGAGGCAACTGGACGTCGAGGAAAATGCTCAGTTTGCCCGCCCCATCGTTTATGCAGATGAGGAAAATGAGCAAAGAAACTCGGGCGAGGAAAGCAAAGGGGTCAGGAGGCTGGCGCTCCAGGCCTCTGGTCTGCTGGTGCCGGGCGGCCACTTGCTCAGCAGCAGACTCAGCAGGTGGTCCCCATCTCCCTCTCCGGAAGGGAAGCCTTCGCCGCCGCCCGGGACAGCCAGCAGGTGCTCCGCAAGCCACAGCACACCGGCCGCACGAGCGTGACCCCTCACCGCCCACACAGGTCACGTGCTCAACGGGCAGCCAGCAGAAGAGGAAAAACCCACGACAAGGCCACACGTTCCGACTTCCGTGTCTAGTCATGGGGGGTCAGGCGGGTCGGGCTGTCTCACGAAGACAACTACAAAGGCCGGAATAATAGATGGAAGTCCTTTCCGGAAGGAACTGAATAGTTAGTAAGATAATGAAGGCCTCTCAGGCCAGGATCTGAAAGAGAAAGGGCCCCCCGCTTAGGTCAGCCAGGCCTAGGACCCACACACTTCAGCAAGAACGAAAAAGGTCACTGTCTCCAGCCTGTGAACTTTGGGGTGCTCTGTTACACAACGATAGCTAACTGATAAAAAACAAACAAACAAAACAACAGCAACAACAAAAACCACATATGGGTGCCTGGGTGGCTCAGTCAGTTAAGCGTCTGACTCTTGATTTCAGCTCAGGTCATGATCTCAGGGTCATGGGATCGAGCCCCACATCAGGTTCTGTGCTGAACAGGGACCCTGCTTAAGAGTCTCTCCTCTGCAACCCACCTCAAACAAAACAAAGACAAAAAAACACATACAGAAATGACAAATCCTGGTTCCTTCCAGAAAGAGGGCCATATTCTGGGAAGACTACAAAAGAAGTTCAGCTACATTAGGGAAGCTTTATTTCTTCCTCCGGGTGTGAGCACAGAGGTTTGCTGTTACTTTCTCTTTACATCTTAAATATAAAGTTAAGGACATGTTCTGAAATTTATCTCCTTTATGGAAATATATGCTTTTACACTTTAATTTTTCACATCTTTTCTTTAAACATCCTTAAATTTATATAAGGAAATGTAGCAATTTTGTGACTAATATCCAATTATTTTCATTCAAATACTTTCCTTTTATTTGCTTGGAAAAAAATTAGCAATGTGCAAAAAAAAAAAAAAAAAAGAAAGAAAAAGATCCCTTTCCACCTGTCAACAGTTTTGCAGTTTGCATCCCTACATATGTCGAAATGCAGCCTGCAATGTGGGCCTCTAAGTGGCTATGTTCTGACTTGATGTCTGTGTCTGCAAACACCAGAAAGTTTACTGGAAAAATGATTTTACCTGGCATAGTTTGGTCAATGGCCCCCTCATCAAAACGAGGGAATCACAAATGTTTCCCCAGTTACCTTGACCATATCTTTATACTTCTCCTTGAGCATCTGGTACGTCTTGCTGTATTTGATGATGGAAATGAGGGACAGGGTGCTTTTAAATCCACTCCTCTTGCTCTCCACAGACCACCGGGCCAGCCTGGCCAGCAGCTCTTCTACCAGCCAGGCGGGTTTGGGATAAACAATGCCATCTGAATGCCATTTTTCTGGACAGAAAATTAAAATAGATATGAACCTTTAAAAATAAGAGAAATATGAATAAGCAGAGCTAGTTTCAATTCTTATTTTTAAATTAAACATTTGCCAAAAAAAAGAGAGTACATATTAAGATAGCTATAATTACAAAATATTTGACCTGAAACCCAACGATTGGGAACTAGTTGCAGAACTTTCAACAAAGAGAGAAAAACACATTTTTTAAAAGCAGAAAGAATTCTTCTCTTATAAACGCTGTTAAAAATGCGTCTACCCATCCTATGAAGCCCATCAGAAGGATGGACAAGGAACAAAGCTCCTCCTACCGTCTGCTTCACGCCCTGATTAGCCAGGTTCTGATTAGCCAGGTTCCAGATGTCTCAGGATCTTTCTAACATTCTGTTTTTGTGTATTTTCACACGTGCAACTCGTAGACTGGCTCACCAAATACTTCCTGGCCAGAAAGTGGAGTGCTCAGCCCCACGGCTAAGGACGTGCACAGTCCCCCTGCAGCTCACAGGTTTGCGTTGTGTGTGTCTCCCGCCCACTGTTACCTGCCCCGCGCCAGACGCACAGCAGGTCCTCTCTGTCCGTGTGTTTGAACACGTGAGTAAAAGCTCACACCCATGGGCCCAGATCACAATAAACTGTCTGAGGACACGATTCAGGCAGCACAATAAGGAAGAGCGTCCAGTTAGTCGGGCGGAGAGAGAAGGCTACAAAAAAGGTGGCATTCAACAGGGGCCCTAAGGAAAAGTGGAGGCACGGGCAGCTGGGCGAGAGGGGCAGAAGCAGGACTGTCTGGCTTTTTGCCACCCTGAGCATCAGAGGGACACAAGTAACAGGCACCGACTGTCCGCTGGGAGCCGCACCCCGGGGGAGCTCACACCGCGGGAAGAGCCTGGGAAGGACTCAGGCTGCTTCCCTTTCCCATCCCGTCACCTGGAAGCTCTCCTGCCGGGCCTGGCACACCCTGTCAGGCCCCTCCCCTGCTTGTCCCTGGGCCTCATGCTCTTCTCCCAGGTGTCCCCCAGAGTCCCCCCGGCCTACCTGCTCATCCACTCAGGCCTCACCTGGGATGCCCCGTCCTCAGAGGCACCCGCACCCGCTCTGCATGGGCCTGACACAACACCGCCTTTGCTACCGAGGGGACGTGGGAACAGAGACATGTTTCACCTGTTTTCTTAGCACTACCTGGTGGCGGAGCGTGTCTGTGGGTCACGCGGCTCCTCGCGGAGCACGTGGTGGGGTGGGCGCACACCAACACTGCTGTGATGGCAGGAGCCAACGAGGAGCGTTGTGCGCTACGGTGGCAGCCCAGTCAACCCCCATTTAACTTGCGCTCAGTAGCTGGCCCGAGTGCCCGAAGGGACGTAAGGGACAGCTGCCCAGGGGCTAGAGGACAGGAAACGCCAACCCGGAAAGACAGGAAGCAGGCAGCCGAGAGCGAGCCCTCAGTCCGTCAGCAAAGAATGTGCTGCCACGCACAGAACGTCCCGCGTGCTGCCACAGCCGTGCGACACCGGGCACCGGGCACCTGCACAGCAGCCTCGAGCACATGCCTTCGGTGGCCACCCACCAGCTCTGCCGTCGGCGCCCCCCCAGGGACCGCCACAGGAGACACGTTTTCCCCCACGTGCCTGCTCCCAGTCCCCACTTTCCAACACGAGCACGCCGAGGAAGGGCCTGGGGCCGGGTCCCTCGAGCAGTCTCTAGACAATTCTAAGAGGCTTCAGCCGGGCCCTAAGTATTGCCATCGAGCTTCTATGCCTACCACAGGTCCTTATGAAGCCTGGGCCCCTCCTCAGAGGCTTAAGAATTATTAAACCCATCGCACAGGTGAGAAGACTGAGGGCCACAGAGGCGACATGCCAAGGTCACATGGCTAGTGGGCAAACCCAGGTCTATCTGACTGCACAACAGTCTCTTCACACTGTACTCCTCTGCTTTATACAAAGCCACGTGCCAAGCCCAGTCTGATTTAACAGACAGCAATGCCCAGGGTTGTTCTGGAAAGTACAGACAGATGTGGCTCCCAGGAAAGGAGCAGCAGCAGAGTGATTAAGAGAATGGACCCTTCCTCTGACTTTTCCATTTAAAAAGTACCAAATGGAAGTAAACCAAATTTCACACTTAGGGTACAGGCCCAAATGCCACATGGAACTAAGCGGGCTACTGAACTGCTACTTTCGGGATAAGCACCACTGAACACCCACTACATCCAAAACCACAGGAGCCTCAGCAAGAAATAAAAAAAGAAACTATCCTCACTCCCCATTCCCAAGTCGTAAAAAAGAAAATAATAAAAGGATTTGCGATTACTTGAATTCAGCTAAACCTAGGTGCTACTCATCATCCCAGCTATGTGGACTGTAAAGAATACAGACCTAGGCCCGGTGCCAACAGGAACAAAGACACGCCAAGGGAAGGCCAACTAGGAACAGGAAACATGTTCTCACACACCTCAGCTGCCAAAGGGCACCTTCAGCTCTTCAATGACCCTGAATCCTGCAGCTACCCAGACGTGTGACAGAAACCATACAGCCCTAGAGGAGGACTCCATTCTGTAGCTCTTACCATTCTTCCTGGCTCTGACTGAGCCGGACTTGATACACGTTGCTCATCTCAACCTTTACATTCCCTCTGTCATCTTCTTCCAAAGGTAAAAAAGTTACAGTTCCATTGAGGACATCTGGGGTAAAAAAGACAGGGATAACCAATTAAAACTGCTTGGTTCAGCATTTTATCAGGAGCAGTATTAAACACAGGCATGACTCAGCCCGACTTTGCTCTCCTGGGGCTTTCCCCGGCCTCCCTTTACCACAGACATGTTTTAGGTCCTATCCACTGCTGCATCCCGAGCCTACAGGGTGCCAGGCCCACGCAGCAGATGCGCTCAGCGGGAGCTGAAGGCAGAAAGTCGCTGTGGAGGAGCACTGCTTCTCCCCCGCAGGGAAGCCAATCTGGGAGTGCAGATGCCTACATCTGAAGGCCTCGGGGGCACTGGCTCACCAACCTCTGTCTGGCAGAAGGAAATGTAAAAGGTGATCAAACACCAGCGATCAAAGCTGGAAGAGCTCCTAAATTCGTCTGGACACGACCGGGTCACGGAGAGCCTCCTGGCAGAGCGGACGCATGGGAAGAGTCCTGCAGGGGCGCAGGGGCGGACCGTGCTGGGAAGTGGGGGTGGGAGGGAAGCCCCTACAGCGATTTGCTGCGTGTGGCACCACAGCCTCTCGAAGGTGATCGCGCCCTGGTACCCACAGCCTGAGTCTGTGCCATGTGACAAGGCACAGAGGACTCTGCAGATGTGACGAGGCTACAGACCTCAGGAAAGGGAGTACTCGGGATGCGGCAGGTGGGCCCAGGCCAGTCACAGGGGCCCGGAAAAGCCGAGAACTTTCTCCAGCTGGAGGCAGAAGAGGAGTCTGCAAGCATGAGAAGGACTGGTGCAGGCTCTGAGACGCAGGAACCCGAGGGAGGCCTCCAGCAGCGGGCCCTCCACTAATCTCTTCACCTGCTAAACTCCTATTCGTCATTCGACATCTGGAGCTCCGTCACCTTCTCCCTCAAGCATTCCAGACACTCGCCCCCCCACAATGACCCCATGCTCTGTACTAGAAATACACATATCTACATGTCCCCTCAAAAAACAGTAAGAAAAAAATCTACAACCTCCCTAGGACATCGCAAATGTAGCGACATAGTGAGTACCGTTGAGCCTTTTCACTGACCTAAGGAGGGAGAAGCAGGCTCCCCGCAGAGCAGGGAGCCCGATGCGGGACTCGATCCCAGGACCCTGAGATCATGACCTGAGCTGAAGGCAGACGCTTAACCATCTGAGCCACCCAGGCGCCCCAAAGCATGCTTTTTAATCTAACTGCATCCTGTGCCAAAGAGTCTCTCTCCGACCACACTCCAGCCAGGCTCTTCTGCGCCCTGTCTCAACCAGGCTTCCACTTGGCCTAGAAGCCTTCAACAGTGGCACGGTTCCTAACAGCTCAAGGCTGCATCCCTAGAATGACCCGCGGCTCCCTCAAAGCTGCCAGGACGCTCTCAGCCCTTACCTGAAGGTGGTCCCCTGTGTCCCCGGGGCCTGGCGGGGGGCGGGGGGCGGGGGGGGCGGAGAAGCCTAACTTCCGGGCGCGCCAGGAGACACCCAGAAGGGAGTCGCAAGGAACAGACCCCCTTCCGTTAATTTTCGCTTCTTTCACTCCACCTCTCACCCTGAGAAACACTCTTACCTTGCACGACGATTTCTCTCCTCGGAGCAGCAAGCGGGCACTGAGGGCCTGTTTTCGGGATGACGGTCCTGAGAACCACGTCGAGCTCGCTTGGCGCCTCCGGCCGCGATCCCGCCCGGGACCCGGTAAGAAAGGCCCGCATGTCTGGGTTGCCGCCGGCGAGGCTCCGAGAGAAAGCGTCCCAGAGGGAATCCAGATCCGAGGCGGGGCACTCGCCCTGTCCGACCCCAGCCTTGCCGGGCTGCGCGGGGCACCCCGCGAGCTGAGCCGCGGCGGCTGCTTCCCTGGGGTCCTCGCCGTGCGGGCGCCGGGGCTGCGACTCCTCGGGCCCGCGGCCCGCCGCGCCCGGCCCGGGGCCCAGGCCCCCAGCGGGGGAGCGCAGACAGGCTCCGGCCGCGGCCCGCTCCCCCTGCTGCGGGCCGGTGATGGGACTGTGGCCGCAGGCCTCCGCCCGGGGAAAACCGACACTCCGCCGGGCGTCCAGGCGGACGCCACACAGCCGCCTGTTGGCCACCTGCGGCCTCTCCAGCCACACGGCCACCGCCGCCCAGAAGCCCCCAGGGAGTAGCGCGCCCGGGTCCCGCACCGCCGCCCGGCCAACCTCCGCCATGGTCCGTCGGCGCCAGGGCTCCGCGGCCGCGGCGCGCCGCGATGACGCACGGGCGTCGCGGTCTGTGACGTCACGGGGAGGGCGGGGCGGAGCGGCTCCCGGCCCCGGGACGCGCCCGCGGGCGGTTGGCGCTGCGTGGTGTCGCCTCGCTTGCCTCTGCGGGCCGCCCCCGCGGCGAGTGCCGCCGCAGGGGCGTGTCCCCGCTGGGCTCGGAGGACCGGCCTGGCCGGGGCGCGTGGACGCTGCGTCGGGTCCGCCCGCGCCCGGGGCGCCTGTGGCGGGTGCGGATGCTGGCGGAGGTCCGGGGAGCGCGGGCCTGCCGTCAGCGTGCGCCGGCTGGCTGCCCGCTGTCGCCCGCGTGTGCCCTGACGGGGCGGGCCCCAAGTCCAGTACAGTCTGCAGAGTCTGCGCTGTGCCCCAAACTCCGGGAGTCCTCATCCTCTTGGTGCCTTAGTCCCTCTGTTGGGGCTCTTACCACGCCCTGCAGAGTCGCTATGGAGTCCGGAGAAGCACTACCCCAAAGCGTGTGATTTCTCGGGGAGAAGAGCCTGCACCGGTGTCTGTGGAATTCAGTGAGCGTAAATGAGTGACGTACCCTCAGGCACACCTGTTGACGCCATCCCTTGGTCTTGGACCATGTGGTTCATTCTTACGCTGTCTGTATTGTCAGCCTTAAGAAGTGAAGAGCCAGTTACCTTACTAGCAAAACGAGCTTATTCAGGAATAGCAGAGAAATTGCAGCTCCGCCGTGCGAGCTCTGGTGAGCCATAGGCAAGTCTGGAGAGGCGAGGAAAGGTCAGCTTCTATCAGGTCTTAGGAGGAAATTGGGGAGGGGTGCTTTAAACAAAAGTTCAGTGGAGAAGAAGGCGAGTTCGAGGCTGGACAGTTTCTCGTTGGCTGCAAGCGCGCTCAATGTGCTGTTGCTGGGGCGGAGAGGGATCTTCCTTCTTTCTCTTAAAAGCAGGAGATGGAATTCCTATGTGAAAAATGTCCGCTCGTCACAAATAATTCTTTATGCTGGTGATGCTCACCGCAGCCAGTGGTACTTACGTGAGTGCTCCCCCTTCAGGGCTTCCCAACTCGTATTTATTTACTTGAGAGAGAGAGAGAGAGAGAGAGAGAATGAGCAGGAGGGGCAGAGAGAAAGAATTGCAAGCAGACTCCACGCTTAGCATGGAGCCCAGTACAGGGCTCAGTCTCACAACCCTGACATCATGACCTGAGCTGAAATCAAGAGTTGGACACTTGAGGGACAGAGCCACCCAGGTGCCCCGCCCCTCCCCTGGCTCCATTTTTTTTCTTTCTTTCTTTTTTAAAAGATTTTATTTGACAGAGAGAGACACAGTGACAGAGGGAACACAAGCAGAGGGAGGGGGAGAGGGAGAAGCAGGCTTCCCGCCGAGCAGAGAGCCCGATGCGGGGCTCGATCCCAGGACCCTGGGATCATAACGATTGAGCCACCCCAGCGCCCCCCCCCCCGCCCCCCCACCTACGACTCCATTTTCAATGAGGCTTGCTTTCTCCCTTTCTTTCCTGGGGACTGCTATGACACATTACCACAAACTGGGTGGCTTGAAACAACAGAAATTCATTCTCTCACAGTTCTGGAGGCTCTGAGAGGGAATACTCTGGCCTCTCTCCCAGTTTCTGATGGTTGCCAGCAATTGTTAGTGTTCCTGGACTGTGGCCACATAACTCAGCCTCCATGGTCCCACACTTTCTCCGTATCTCTTCTGCAAAGCCCCTATTGCCAGATAAGTCCACAGGTACTGTGGGTTTGGACTTTGACCTGCTTTTTGAGGCGGGGGGACATAATTCAACCCCTAACTCTGTCCAAAGGGGGCGTAGCCTTGTTGGAGTGGCCAAAAGATGAGTAATGACAAATCTCACCAGTTGCTAATACGTGGGGATGGAATCTGCGTCAAGCATGGAGAATGCAGAGCTGAGTACAGTCCTGCACTTGAGCAACCTTCAGGCCGATGGTGGAGGCAGACATCGAAGACGATGGTTATGAAACATGAAAACTGCAACACTCAACACAGTGTTGTGGGTTCAGAGGGTTCAGAGGTTACAGAAAGAGGGAAGTTTTTCAGGCTCTGTGCTCCACGTGCCCAGACCCTTTTGGGGCCCTGAGGCTTTGCCTTGTCCTGGAGTTGGCTGACGGGTCCCTGCTGCCCTGCTGTGCGTCATAGGAGCATGGCAGAGAGCGGTGACACAGCAGAAACCTGGAGGCCTAGGGCTCTGGGGTGAGAGGTCATAAAGCCAGAAGTCAAAGTATAGAGGGAGGTGGAAAATTCCATTTGGCCATGGGCGGGAATCCTTGCGTAAGACCTTGCCAGCTCCTTGCTGGAACAAAGAACAGTTTACCTGCCTCTTACCTCCAAAGTCTGGCTTATTTGTCACCAGAGCCCTAGCTTAGTTTTTGACCCATAGGAGCTATCCAATTAGTAATTACTGAGTGTAAAGGTCTGTGAGCAAAAGGGGGGTGGGGGGGGCGGGGAACTGTGTAGCTGGCTCCACTCTTCTGTAGGTTCTGAACTAGTGAGGCAGGTGGTGGTGGGCGAGAAAGGAAGGATGGGGATAGAGACAAATGGCCAGAGTGGGAGAGGAAACTTTAGTATTAACAACATACTCAAATAATTGCACTTACCAGTGATGGCCAATAGAGCAAATAGCTAAAGATGAGCGAGGCATGGGCAGGCCAAATACGGTGGAGTGGAGAGATATCAAAATGATCAAGAATGGGTGGGTGGGGACCGCAGCAGACGACGGCCAGCTCATTGTCAGCTGCGTCACTGCAAGAGCTCTTGGCCTCCTCTGCTGTTTGTACCAACTTCACCTCCATTCCTGGAAGTCTTACCAGGAACTAGCTCACAAAACCAAACTCCCTTTCTTTCCCCCCTAAGTTGTTCCCCCTATGCTGGTCTCAGAGGCGTCTCTATCCACCCAGGTCCCAGCAGGACAACCCAGACTCATGTGTGACCCCCCTTCCTCTCTCCCTACCTCACCATCCAAGAAGTTTCAGGGTCCACCTAGTTCTCCCCAGAGATGTGCAAAGCACACTCCCTGTCAGACTCAGGTCAAGCAGTGTCCTCAGGCCAGGGAGGGGACCGAGTGTGGGGTGCTGGAGGGCTGGCAAGCAGAGGCCAGAAGGTGGGGTGTGCAGGAGAGCCAGGGTCAGAGCTGGGAACAGTAGTCCTGAACCCAGTCACCCATGCAGGAATCTAGGTGGAGAGATGAAGTAATGAGACCGAAGCTGGTTACGAGCCAGCCCTGAGCAGCCTGGGGGATGCAGGTTGCGCTGACCTGAGAAGCAGAGGGGGGAGAGAGAGAGAGAGAGAGAGAGGGAGAGAGAGAGAGGCAGAGAAGGGCAAGGAGCCTGCTGACATTCCAAAGGCTGGGAGCCTCTGCTTCATGCGTGCTCACCACCCCATGAGATATAGAACCAACTGTACGAAGTCATCCCCCACCCCTGCACCAGCTGCCTGCCACGGGCCTTCCCACCTCTCCTCTGTACCAGTTCACCTGTTCCTCCGTCCTCACTTCTAGCCTGCCCACCAGTACCTGCTCTCTCCCTGCCACGCTACACTGGACTCCAATGATTTCCACGTAGAAAGATGTATCAATAAAACATGTGAACCCAACTTGCTTTCTAGTAGTTGTAATTTTGGAAGAAACTGATCTAAACGTGTGAATTATTACTCTATAGTTTATTTTATTCCTCTCAAAAGTATATCCATTTGAAAAACAGTGGCATGTTTTTTATTAGACCATTAATTTTTTTTAAAGATTTTATTTATTTATTTGACAGAGAGAGAGATAGTGAGAGAGGGAACACAAGCAGGGGGAGTGGGAGAGGGAGAAGCAGGCCTCCCGCAGAGCAGGGAGCCCAATGCGGGGCTCGATCCCAGGACCCTGGGATCGTGACCTGAGCCGAAGGCAGAACCTTAACAACTGAGCCACCCAGGCACCCCTAGACCATTAATTTTTATAAAGATTTAGTTACTTATCTGAGAGGGAGAGAGAGAGAACGAGCAGGAGGGCAGAGTGAGAGGGAGAGAAAATCTCGAGCAGACTCTGCGCTGAGCATGGAGCCAGACGTGGGGCTGGATCTCATGACCCTGAAATCACAACCCGACCCCAAACCAAGAGTTGGTTGCTCAACCAACTGTGCCACCCAGGTGCCCCTTTATTAGACCTTTATTTTTTGTTTGATTTGCAGGCACTCCTGGGTGCTTCTATGGACTCAGGGACCCCTTGTAATGATGCCACAGACCCATGGCTGGAAACATTGCCTGGGTGGAGAATTAATTCTGATGGCTTAGCATGCATGGTAGGTTCAAGGCCCTAGCCAATCATTCAGACTCTTCCTTCTGCTTTTGTAACAGGAAGGGGGCCCTGATACTGATGCAGGCAGGCTGAGTCTGAGAACACAGGGGATGGTCCTACGGGGCCAGCCAAGAGGGTCCTTGTCTTCACGCAGGACAGACATCAAAGACAAGCCAGAGAAAGTGAAAACAGAGTTTACTGAATAACGTGAGTGACAGAGAATAGCAGACGGAGTGTCTGGGAGACTCAGAAAGGAAATAAGAATGAGTCTCTTTCTCACGTCGGGTAAGGGGTTTCTATTGGAAAAGGGTGTAGGGTACCTGTTCCTCCAGGAATCCAGGGCAGAGTCCAATCAAAGATGAGTGTTGTGTGAACAACAGGTGTAATTCCGAACATTACAGAAGGTGGGAGTATTGATGCCAACATCATTGGAGGTTTGCTTGAAGCTAATGTCCTGAGACATGTTTAGGATCTGACTCTTCTTAGATGTTATCAGGTGTTTGGGGGCCTAAGACAAAACTCAGAGAAAGATTCACTTTCTTGCTTCCCCCCTTGAAGTGGGAACATAGCTTCATTGGCTTATTCGGAGGCAAAATATGGAACGTGAGTGAACGGGGCCTGGCAGAGAAACAGCAGAGAGGAAGCCTTTCTGAAATGGAGTCCCATCAGCTCCCCTACCTCAATATTCCCAATGATGAGTCTGTTTTCAATGAGAATCACAACTGTGACAAGGCATTGTCATGGAAAAAGGAGAAGGTACTTCAGAGTGGAATGGGAGCAGAGAGAGACTTCCCGAATATCAGCTGAGCATCTCCACACAATTCTCCCACTAGTGGCAAGCTGAGGGCAAAGCACAAGCTAACGCCCCCCCAAATCTTCCCAGGTGGGAGATGTGTGACATTCCTCAGGTACTCCTGGCTGCCCAAGAACAAAGGAAGAGGAAAAACCCAAATGGTTAACTGATACAGATCACAGTCATGCAGGACCTGAGTCTCCCTGAGTTTGCAGCTGTCTTAATGATTTACAAGAAAGAAAAAGAAACAATCTTTTCCATAGCCAGGCCTCCAGAAACCTATAGACTCAATTTCCTGGGACCCTAACATCCCCCTCCCTTCCATAAATCTTATATAATCACCCACTCCTCACAACCCCAGTGCAGCTCTTTCTGCACACAGGTCCTGTCACCCTGCTTTAATAAAAACACCTCAAGAATTCTTTCTTGACCATTTGCTCCAAACCCCAACTGTCCCAAATTACTTGGCGTACAACATGGGGCTTCGAGTCTTTTCATCTGTACTCTGAGCCAGGGTGCAAACTTGGTGAGTACTTCCTCTGCTCTCCCTTACTCTCATTCCAGGGCATTTTCAGGGAGTACAGTCTTAATGGAACACTTTCATGTCGATTGCTCAGACTGCAATCTTCTAGCCCATGGCTACTCCATGGGGAAGAGAAAGCCTGCCTTTTGGCTGGAAGTTAGTACCTTGGCCAGAATGTTAGTAAGACCCAGAAACTTGATGCCCTCTCTTTATTCCTGTCCTTATACTAAGATGTCTGTCTTGGGCACAGGACAACCACCTAAGTCACCAGGACGGCTGCCAATCTTAAGACTCCCGTGTGAGGTTTCCTCCTCATTGGTCTAAGTGATCCCCTTCACATCTCTGGTCTAGTTGCTTCTGGCCATGGGACCGCAACTGGGAGCTGGCCAAAACCAGTAATCGATGGAATTAAAACCCAACCGGATCAATTTCCTAGAGAAGTTGACATGTAAGTTGACTACATGTGTTGGAATGTCTCTTAGACCATGATGGATTTCTGTCTTTACTGTTTTCTTTCAATGT